ACACTGCAGCTGCTGAACTGAAATTCAGGAGCTTTTCTGCTTTTCAAACGACAAATGCTTGTTAGTAGTGTTTTTTAACTGTTCCATGTCCAGATGCTGTTCAGAGTCTTTTTTCATCATCAGAAATGCATGCAAAGCGTTTTCTATGTATTTAAATGGATCTAGAACACCAGCGCAGTCAGCTCCAGGTTTTGCGTGAAGGAAAAAATGTGGCATGCATTATGCTCATGATGGGATCCATAGTGAATACAAACAGAAAAGACAGGTCATCTTAACATATACTGCTCTCCCTGCTTCTGCTCTCTCTATTTCTTTCAAAATGTCTGAAATAGTTAATTTGTTAATTTGTTACTGTTTTTCAGTGATTCTGGGCATTTGGGAAAGTCTCCCGAGGTTATCTTTAAAAAATGCTTCTAAACGCTAAAGCGCATAAACGTGCATAAACGCGGTATGCAAACGTGGCTAAACAGACGTTTTTTTTCACCTACGTTTTCCAGCAGTTAGTTTCCACCGTGTACATGGAGCCTTATACATGTGATAGAACATGATCCCTGCTTTAAAGGATTTCAACTTCTGGTTGCAATTATCCCCCCCCCCCCCCCCCTCCAATATTCTGCAGACGCTGTGCATAGACACATCTAGATGAAATTCTTTCCAAATTCTGAAATGCCATTGTGGGTTATGCTATCAGCAGCTGGACACCTGCACTTTCCAGTAGGACTAGCATGGTAATGTTTTACTTACATTGCGCGCGGTGTTGGTAAAGCGAGAAAGGGGGTCAGATTTCTATGGCCATCTTCTTCCAGCACAGCCAGTCCGAGGCAGGAGGGTCCCAGGGAGCTGCAACAAAGTAAGTCATCATTAGTGTCACCAAAAGGCTACAGTGCAGGTGGCAGCACACACAGCAGCCTGGGATTGTGATTTCAGGCTCTCTTTGTGTGCGATCAATGAGACTGAGCGCACATTCTTGTTTTACTGTGACAGCGATAATGCCCAGCAGAGCATACATAGCCTCCCACAATCCTGTGCTTATGAATCCCTACAGTTTTGGATGTCTCAGGTTATATAGATAAAAAGTAAGAACAAGCAGACCCTCAAACATGCTATATTCCTATTTTAAAGCACTTTCCCTGTTTGCATAAAATGCCATACAATCTGAAAAAGACAAATAGGAACGTACTAAGATTGGAGCAGGCATCCAATCAGCTTGTCTCTTTGATTTTCAAAGCTTAGCTGAGCAAGCGGAAGCTAGAAGCTGATTGGTTACTATGCACAGCTGCTCCAGTTTTAGTAAATTTTCCCATAGGAGCTCACGATCCTGCACGCCTTATAGAGTAGATCATGCTCGAGCTGCCACTAAATATGGACAAAAGAAAATATACATTTATAAAGCAATGGTAAAAGCATTGTGATTTAGTAGAATAAAGGCAATATTGACATGTGTTATTAATAGTTTCTTCAAAACTTAAAAGAGTAAAAGTATTTACCAGCAAGGACAGCTCAGATCCCTCTCTTCCTCCAACTGAACCTTCAGCTGGGACAAAGCCTATTAACTATTCATAACATGCCAGCCCGCCCACCTGAAGCCAGCCAATGGCCAAGCAGCTGCTTTGAGTCCCAGCACTGTTCTCGCTTCCACTGGGTCTTGTCGCCTACTGCTATACACACCACGTGCTCAGAGCTACTGCTCGGTGATGGGGCTGTCACAGCCCATGTATAGTCTTCATAACAGGAAAAGTACAAAGATTTATTCTTTAACAATAATCATATGCCCTGCTCACATGAGCCAATTTGGAATTGCAGGCAGAGTTGTCGCAATTCTACCCATGATTACAAATTGTGTCAAGACACATGTTAGGGTGCCAACATTCTTAATGGCACTCTAACGCAGTGTGATTCTGCCGCGACTGTCACATGACAGAATCGCGGTGAAGTGCACATTTAAAAATCATGCTAAGCTTGTTACCCAAAAAGGATCAGGAGCTCCTTTGAAGTGATTGGGCTTTCAGAATCACATGCAGGAACGTTCATTCCCGCAACACAATATCTGAACAGTGCCAAATCCGATTTATATATGCTGAAAAAAATGAATATGGAAAACAGGAGTGACTAAAGCCAGTGTCTTCACTATAATCTTAAGTATAAATTTAAATCAAACAAAAATCAGCAAGCACTCGGGACAAAAAATCGCGCAAGCTGCAAATGCATTGATAAAGGAACCCTAAAGCCTTGCAAATAATCTACAAAAACAGTGCAGCACTAAGAAATTACATATAAATGAAAAATTAATGTGTAATATAATCAATAATAATAATAGATCAATTCATCAAAATTAAATAAAATAAATAGTGATATATCATATAAGTGACTAAAGAGCTATGTTAGGCGCAAAAAAATAAATGTGATATTGTGTAGTCTTTTAACATAAAAAGAGTGTTCATAAATTAGTGAAGGCTTGACGCGATCAGGTCGGCATATAGTGCTCCATAAAGTCCTAATGCACTTGTGACATCCAATAAATCCGTGTGACTTAATCCATGCGAAAGACTGTAAGAAATGCGCACTCACCAGATGCGCATAATTAACCATTAGCCGCCCGGCCAATAGCCTTTTGGTGGCCGGCAAAATGCTTTAGCTTTCCAGGTGGACGCCATATGGCGTCCTCCCGGGCATGCGCAGTTTGCGCGCTTGCAGAGCCGCGCAGTGGCGCAATCTGTCACCGGCCGTCACCGGAGCGATCTGTCACCAGCCGATGACAGATCTGAATACCGGCCCCCGTTGCCGGTACCATGTGACCTGCTGTGACCAATCACAGCAGGTCACATGACAGTTGTATACAATGGATGGCTTCATTCATGCCATCCATTGTATACTAGTGTCTAGCTGTGAATGGTCACAGCGATCACATACACATGTCATGTGATTAGCTGTGGCCAAATCACAGCTAAGCACACACAAAAAAAAAAACCCTGAATGGATCGATGTCATTCAGGCAAATGCTTGCTTATAGAAAAGTAATTCTTTGCTATAAGCAAATTGTGTAAAAAAAAAAAAAAATACTGATTACTTCCCCAAAGTAGTACAATGTTATTATGGTAACATTATACTACTTTGGTCATAGTGAAATATGAAAAAAAAAATCTTTAAAAAAAAGAAAAAAATTTAATAAAAAATTAACAATAATAAAAAAAAAATATATTTTTTTTTTTTTCGGGCTGTCACCAGTCAGTGTCCCTGATCACCGCCATGCCAGTTATATGATAAAAGCATGTAAGGCCAGTGGAAGAGTGGCTGCAGAGGAGGCTTGTGTCCAGAGGAGGGATCCTGGTTCCATGCTGTCTGGCAGATCCATATAAAGGGGGTTTCCTACAGATTCTTGTTCAGCATATTGCGCATTAACCATTTCCATACCGGGCACTTTTACCCCCCTCCGGCCCAGGCCATTTTTCAGGTTTCAGCTCTCTCACACATTGAATGACAATTGCGCGGTCATACAACACTGTACCCAAACTAAAATTTTATAATTTTCTTCACACAACTAGAGCTTTCATTTGGTGGTATGTAATCACCGCCAGGGTTTTTATTTTTTGCTAAATTAACAAAAAAAGACCGAAAATTTTTGAAAAAAAACATGTTTTTCTTTGTTTCTGTTATAAAGTACTATAGTACTACTTTGGTCATAGTGAAATATGAAAAAAAAATCTTTAAAAAAAAGAAAAAAATTTAATAAAAAATTAACAATAATAAAAAAAATATATATTTTTTTTTTTTTCGTGCTGTCACCAGTCAGTGTCCCTGATCACCGCCATGCCAGTTATATGATGACGCTGTACTGCACTGGTGACAGTATGTAAAAAAAAAATTGCGAAAATTATTTTTTAAATTTTTTCATTTTCCGAAAAATTATGAAAAAAAAATACAACTTCAAAAAACTCGCCATGCCTCTTATGAAGTACGTCAGACTGTCTACTTTGGAAAAAAGGGTCATTAGGGGGATATTTGTACTTTTCTGACATTCTTCGACCTCAAGAAATTAGATTGGCTGTCAGGATTGATCAATTTTCAGATCTATAACAAAGTTTGTGAGCTCTAACTTTCCTACAACTAAAAAATACATATACATAAAAATACAAAAATATACCAAAGACATGTAGCAGAATACATCTCGGCCTAAATTTATAAAGAACAATTATTTATTTGCAAACTTTTATAACAGAAACAAAGAAAAACATGTTTTTTTTTTCAAAATTTTCGGTCTTTTTTTGTTAATTTAGCAAAAAATAAAAACCCCGGCGGTGATTAAATACCACCAAAAGAAAGCTCTAGTTGTGTGAAGAAAATGATAAAATTTTAGTTTGGGTACAGTGTTGTATGACCACGCAATTGTCATTCAATGTGTGAGAGAGCTGAAACCTGAAAAATGGCCTGGGCCGGAGGGGGTAAAAGTGCCCGGTATAGAAATGGTTAATGCGCAATATGCTGAACGAGAATCTGTAGGAAACCCCCTTTATATGGATCTGCCAGACAGCATGGAACCAGGATCCCTCCTCTGGACACAAGCCTCCTCTGCAGCCACTCTTCCACTGGCCTTACATGCTTTAGCAAAAAGGAAAAGAGATGCACTGCACTTTAGCTGTTGCATGGGGTGCCATTAATTTTTTGAATATGAAGTGGTGCTGTGCTACTTATTATAAAGTGAAAGATCAATCAACATGAAAAAACTCATAAATAATGTGCAAAGTGGACAACCCATATAGTCAATGCTAAACCAGCGGGTGTAGAAGGAACAATAAGTGTACCAAATAACAACAAAGATGAAATGTGACCAAAAAAAATATAGAAATATAAATAATGGATGCACTAAAAACATTAAGTGAAAAAGCGGTCAGTAGATAAATAAATACATGAGAAATTGAATAAATTGTGACAAATAGGAGGTTATTTACTAAAGCTGGAGAGTGCAACACCTGGTGCAACTCTGCATAGGAACAGCTTCCAGGAGGGGCGGACTGACAACTCATGGGGCCCCCGGGCAATAGGAAATTATGGGTCCCCTGTGTCCTCGCCCACACTCAAACCACACCCAAAAAAGCCTATGAAAGGTACCAGGGGCATCTCATGGGGCCCCCTACTGACCCCAGGGCCTCGGGCAGTGCCCTAGTGGCTAAATGGTCAGTCCGCCCCTGCTTCCAGGTTTTATTGACAAAACTCAATTGAACAAGCTGAAGTTAGAAACTGATTGGCTACCATGCACAGCTGCACCGGATTCTGGGTGCACTAGTTTTAGTAAATCTCCCCCATAATGTCAAATGGCAAAAATGTGACACAGAAAATGAATAGCTAAATGAGAACAAATAGTCCCAAAGGCGCAACAGACATTGAATCTTCAGCACAAGCCGTGAGACATCAGTGAACACAACAAACAGGCAATCCTTCGCCAGCTAGCGTGCGCGCTCACCTTCCAACTGCGTATACACAGACCGATGATCTCAGACTAGATGAATCTCAGTAGTAAATAAACCGAGTACTCCTCTCCATGGCAAATACATCCAGCAGTACCACCGATGTCCTTAAAAGTGTGTGACCTTAGATCTCCTTCTCCTCCAATATCCTCACATGAAAGGATCAAAAAAAGCTCCCATAGTGTAGTAGGTTAACCCCTTCACGCCTAAGTGTAAAACAAATCTAAATGCCTAAGCACAATTTTGCAACATTGACATGTATTAGTAAAACCGTACATATCATCACAACTACTTTGTAGATCCAGGTGAATTATACTGCGTTTTTTTCAGGACAAATTGGGCTTTCATTTGGTGGTAAATGGTAATGGATATCTCCTGATTTTTTTTCATTATCAAAGGAAAACTGGCCCAAAAAAAAAATAGCTGTGTAAACCACCATAAAGAACAACCCAAAATAAATTCTCCAGCTCTTGACGATCGCATCAATACCATATATGTGTATGTTATTTGTTGTTTGTACCCATAGTACAGCCCAGAATCAATAGTGCGCATTTTGTGTTTGTCTTCTTTTTTTTTTTTACCTAAAACACACTGACACTGACATTGACACTAACTCACACTGATACCAATTTTTATTTAAATCCTGACCTTTTACCCTGACCTTTTGACCTTGACCTTTGACCCTGACCTTGACCCAAACAATAACCCTGGCACTGAACTAAATCAAACCTTGATTTAGGTATTCTTTCTTTATTTTATTTTTTAATATTTATCTATTTATTTTTTTTATTTTTTTTACAAACATTTTTTTTCTCTCATTGTATCATACATTGTATCTCTCTTCTCCATTCATAGAGAGAGAAAAAAACAAGGGTGCCAAACTGCACAGTGACTGATCACTGTGATAGCCAATCAGAGGCTATCACAGCAATCATGTGACCCAGAATCTGGAGTCCCGGGTCCCGATCGTTAGAACGGGACCCGGGGCTCTCAGTGACACCGCATTCTTTATGCTGGGAGTGCGGCACGCTCCCAGCACAAAAACAGGTACGCAAATATGCGGCCCCACGGAAAAAAGCCCAGTTCCGTGAGGCCGCATATTTGTGTGACGTCGGCGTCAAGGGGTTAAAATGCTTTATTAAAGAGACACAAGAAAACTACTCACATGTGAAAAACGGGTCTGCAGACCCATACAGGCAATCACTGTATCAAACAGTACAAGGTGTAGGAGGTTGGGAGTACCAAGATGGCGGCTGCCGTCCATGTGACCACCACGCTTTCATCCTACGCGTTATGTCACAAATCACTTTATCAAGCATCAGCCAGCACGGAGCATTTTCAAGCATGCCAAACCATATGGGGCTGCAGAATCTTGTGATTTGGCGCTGGAAAGGGAATATACTAGTGTGTAGAGGGTCCTTCAGAATTTTTGGTCTGGCGCAAGTTCTCAAATGGATCAGGGACTTCTTTTCCTGCGTTTCGTATGAGTAGGGCAGCCCATTGCACATGCAGCACGGAGCCATACAGATGTCAATGGTGACTAAACTGTAATACAAAATGAAGAGAAAAAAAACTGAAAAAAAAAAAACACTAGAAAATAATTATTGTTCCAAGAAATGTTATTTAGGGCTCATTCACATGAGCCTAAGTGTATTTTCTGCATGAAGGAAATGTTCTTGCTTGCAGATCTAGAAGATCCTGTGTAAAATAAGCACTTAATTATGCACTTTAAAAAGTACAAGCTCTTTAAATGTCAATAAAATGATTGGAATTAAAATACGTGCCTAAAGTACTTTTATGTAATTTTATAAGCGTTTATGTGTGTACCCGTGTAGAATCTTCAGATCTATGCACATAAAATCTGCATTTGTATCCTACTTTTTTGTGTGCGGCTAAATGCAGCGCACGTTTTCATATGTGTCTATCGATTAATACAGAACTGCATTTAGAGGCCCACAAAACCAAATTTTAATACACCGTTTTTTCTGCCCGTGTGAATGAGTTCTTAATAGTCTTTTCTGGTATTATTCTTCAGTTTGTATTAGAGTTTATTTTATTTTTAGTTTAAATAAATTGTTTAGAAAACTAAAATAAAATGTTTTGGCTTTAAATACACTTTTTTAAGGCCTCATGATGATCGTTAAAAACACCCTTTTCCTGTGTCTAAACACCCCTCCATGTTAGCCTATGTGTCCATGCACACATAGGCATTGGTGTATTTAGGTTTTGTGCTGCCCCTAGCAACACAAAAATCATCTGCCCCCACGGACACCAACCAACACCATTCCCCTCCTTCCTTGTCTCCCTCGTGGAGAAAGCCTGACATTGACCTTCAACACCCCTGCCCCCTACCTGGGAGAGCCTTCCACTACCCCCCCCCCCCCAGCGATAGAGAGAAAGACACTCATCTTCATCTCTGGACATCCCCAGGAATGAGAATCAGGCTCTACATACACCATTAAGCAGCCCGCAACCTCTCTCAGATCCCACTTGGTTCCCATGGAGCACGTGTCCCTTCTTTCATCACTTCTTCTGGGGGGAGGTGCTGCCCCCCTGAAAAATGCTGCCCTAGGCAAGTGCCTTGTCTGCCTCGTGGTAAATAAGCCACTGCACATAGGGGTTTATAGGCGTTTAGAGGCAGAAAAAAATAAGCCAGTTCCAGTGCAGGAACAGCACAACAACATTCTCTGATATGCCTAAACGCGTGTAAATGCACTTAAGAACTAGGCTTGTTTAACGTTTGAATGTTCATTCATTTCAATGGCTCAATATATTACTATTCTGGCTCATTCTGGCCAGTGAAATTAATGTACGGCCAAACGTCTGACACGCTTAAACGTGTTTGCAAAGCGCGGCTTTAGATGCTGGCAAGATATTCAGTAGAGCTGGTCAAGGCCTAAGAGCTTGTTTACATTTGCAGCAGCCTTTGCTACCCTTCTGAAAAGCTATCTGCAGTTGATCCCTTTTCAGAAGATGGCTGGGAAGTGACATGTTGCTACCTTGGTACCTGTTTTAACCCTTAAAAGCACACACCACCATGCCACAATGGCATGCATTGCTTGCAGTAGCAGAACAGCCCCTTTCTCTTGAATGGGTCACATTCGGTGCTGGGACTGCCCATTGAATGCAACAGGAGGTATAATTTTTGCCACAGTCACAAGGTGTACAACTTCATCCAGCTGCCTTTGGAACCATCTATTTTTATCACCACTGGGCCGGATTAAATGAGCCCTAAAACACAGTACAGGTTAACAGAGTGGAAGACTGGTGTGAGTTTCTACCAAACAGTAGGAGGTATAATCCTGAAAGGAAGTTTGACAGCATCCAAGTAATGTACTGTATATGATTGACATAAAAAGAACAGTTTTAAAACCCAAATCTAGGAAATGTATAAATCCTTCCTTGCAGTGGAGCTGCAAGCATTAAATGCTTATTTATTTCTAGGGGCCTGATCCTCTGCTCCCCTATAGGGTGGCACTTCCCTATGCCTCAGCAGTGGGCTGTTCCTCTGTGTCCTCAGGTTTATGCAGGCCATACATGGTTTGAATTCCGAATGATTTTTTGATCGAAAATCAAAAACCTTGTTCTGTAATCCGATGGTGCTACCAATGATTTAGAAAATCGTTTGTTTTTCACAAATTTTCCAACATGCCCAATAAATGAGATGGCGAGGAACCACGAAAATCGGCCGGTGCCATCGCCCCACTACCAGAGCGAAAATCGGTCGCTTATTCTTAAGTCAGATTTTCGAACTAAAAATCATTCGGGAAATGACCCATGTATGCCTTAGGCAAGTTTATAGGCCCTACATCAGTGGTGATGATATTAGAGGACCTTAGACTGCCAGAGCATATGGGAGAACAGGCTGTAGGGACCTATCTTGATGCCTGGAGGAACCTGCAGGAGCAGAGGATTGGGCAAGTAAAATTGCTTTTTCCAGTGCCCCAAATGTAAGCAAGCATTAAACCCTTGCAGTGTAAGCATTATTACCTTCCCCAGAGTTTGGTTTTACATAAACGATGACTATATTTCCATAGTACATCTAAAACAAAATGTTCAGAAAGAAAAAGAAAAATTGGGATTTAGATATATTTTAAGCTTATTATTAGCTGGACATAAATTTTACAAAACAATTACACATCTGTGAGACTGTATAAGTTTTTTTAATTGGGGACTGCATGGATTGAAGAAAAAAAATAGAATGTGCATATGTAATAAATATGTAACATTCCTACTTGCAGTCAGTGGTAGGTATGGTGCACAATAGGACAGCAAGCATGCAAGGCTGGCACTGGGCCACAATAAAAAGGCTGAGCAGCCCCAATCTTCCCACAGTCTGGGAACTGCTCAAACCCCTCCCCCACCACCGTCAACAGATCAACTCCTACTCTTCTACATGAGTGCGGTTTCAAGAGGTTTTTCAACATTTAGGAGAAAAATAGAGCTCCCCTTTAAAGTGCCCACAGATTTTCAAGGACAGTTTTGGTTGACAGTGGTGATGTCTATGGGTCACCTATGAATATCGTAGAGGGACCTTTGTTAGGAGAAATTTCAATATTCCATTTTTTTAAAAAAATATTTTGTCGATTTACTTCTCTTTATATGCGGTAACAAGAGTGGTTCTACAGATAAACTGACCTATAAGAAGTGTTTAAATAGTTTAATCCAAAATTATTGTCTAAAACTAAAGCCAGCCATAGATGTATTGAATCTTGTCTGGTTTAGCAGGGGTCAGCCGAGATTCGATTCATCTATGGGCAGGTTGATTGTACCCAAGTCGATCCATCAATTGACTTAGGAACAATCAGCATGTAGAACGCACTGCATTGGTGTGAACTAGGGCCATTAGAATTCATGTTAAACACTGTCCATGCGTTTTTGATGCAGAATCAAAACACACTGGACTGAATCTGGTGTGAAAAAGCTGTAAGACGCACTTACCTGCCGGCTTGCAGTCTTCTATTTAATGTACACTGGGCTGTGCATGCAGAGTTCAGCGTGCTTTCCGGGCAGACTACGGCTGTGCCACAATGACTGACTCCTGTGGCATGTGCAGGATTGAGTCATCCCCTTCTGGCCAATCAAGAGGTCACCTGCAAGTAGGCTGGGGAGAAGATGACAGCGGTGTACAAGAGGTGTAACCATTTCATGGCTAAATTGCTACAGAGTGTTTATTTTTTATTTGCCAATGTACAACAAGCCTTACTTGGTCTTACAGTCGCCAGACCTAAAAGTGTTATAAAGGTTGTTATCTGTGAGGTGGCAGATCAGATGGTTGTGGACTAGGCATTCTAGAAGTTTGGAGGTAAACAGGAGCAGAAGAAGGGTCTTCGGTTGTTAACATTGGTGGGGTCCAGCGAGGGCTATTTCAGTATGGGGGTGACCAGTGCATGTTTTAGAGGGTTGTAGAGGATGCCAGTACAGATGGTTGTGGACTAGGCATTCTAGAAGTTTGGAGGTAAACAGGAGTAGAAGATGGGTCTTAGGTTGTTCACATTGGTGAGGTCCAGCGAGGGCTATTTCAGTATGGCGGTGACCAGTGCATGTTTTCGAGGGTTGTAGAGGATGCCAGTAAAGAGGGACAGATTGAAGATGTCAGTCAGAAAGTGTTGAATTAAGCAAGAGGGTAACAATAGTAGTTGTGAGGGAATGGGGTCCAGAGGGGCAGTGATTAGGTAGGCGTTATTATTATTATTATTATACAGTATTTATATAGCGCCAAAAGGTTTGCTCAGCACTGTACATTGTAGTGAGGGACAGTACATGGGACAATACAGTAACAAAACAATACACGAGGGGTTCGAGGGCCCTGCTCTTTCGAGCTTACAATCTAGGAGGGAGGGGATAGTGGTACAGGAGGAAGTGGCTGTGGGGGATGGAGTGGTAGGAGGAGTAGAGGAGATCAGCTGCTGGAGAGGGTGGGGTAGGCTTCCCTGAAGAGATGGGCTTTCAGGGTGCGTCTGAAGGTGAGGAGGGTAGGTGACAGTCTGATGGATTGGTGTTAAAGAAAAACTTTAGCAACCCCCACTGTGATAAAAGGTTCAAAAGAGGAAAGTATTGAATGTGGTGGTAGACATGGCATATTACTTGCAGAAGATATCTGGATAATGAGGATCTCATAAAGAATTTCTTCAATGTTGTTTTTGAAATGATTGGCATCTCTTCGGCAGTGATTGTTAGTTGAGTAAGTGGAGAATGCAGTAGAACGTTAAAGGCAGAAAAGAGTTGACAAGGATTGGATGAAAAGATATTAATGAGAATGATGAAAAAGGGGTGTCTGACAGCAGAGAGGCAGGTATTGTTTAGGAGGGCAGATTTATACAGGGCAAAGTCTTGCCAGGATTTAGTTTTACAACGCAGTTGCTCAAGAGTACAGCTATGTCTTTTGAGCCTTCTGGTCTTGTCTGTTTGCCTCAGTTGTAGTTTTGATTCTATGTGTGGTGAGGGGAGCGAATGTGTCCAAGGAGGATGAGAGGGAGTTATTGTAGACAGAAGAGCTCAGGTTGGGGCAGGACAGAAGTAAGATTTTGTCATAGATGTAGTCTGTTGCAGAATTGAGAAGGGAAGTGGCAAAAGTTTCTGTGAGTAACTGTTTGCCAGTTGGAGTGATAAGTGGTTGAAGACGGAGTAGCATTAAACTGATAAGATTGTGACCAGAGAAAGCAAAAGGAGTATTAAAGGAGTTGCAAGGTGTGTAGAGGTGGGGAATATGAGGTCATGTGTGTGGCCCTCAATGTGTGTAGAATTGTGCGTCTATTGCATTCCGTTAAAAGAGCAAGTTAAGCTGAGCAGTGGAGAGGCACTGTAGTGTTAACGTTAACAGGGATGTTGAAGTCACCAAGAATGATAGCGGGTTTTTCAGAGGAGAGAAAGTAAGGTAGCCAGGCAAGGGAGTTGTCAAGGAAGCTGGATACCGGCCTAGGAGACCAGAGATCACAGCAATTCTCGGAGAAACTGGATAAAAGAGACAAATACAGTGGGCTCAAAAGAGGAGAAGAACAGAGAAGGAGGTAAGGGAACAACCTGAAAAGTGCCTTGGGAGATAGGTTTCAAACTCTACCTACTTTTCATTT